GGTAGTATATTTCAAGAAGGGTATTCTAGTAAATTTGCCTTGCTAGTCTTGTACCAAAACCAAACCAAACCCACAATTTCCTTGTTTTGTTTCATTACAACACAAAACGCACTTTGAGAGAGTTAGAGAGAGCTAGAGGTCTTGGAAGAGAAGAAGAGGAGAAGAACACAAAGCTTGGGTTTTGGGTTGGTTGGAACATCAAGAATCATTCAATCATTTAAGGTAAGGGGTTTGATTTTCCAATTCTTATAGTTAGGGTTTGATTGATATATTTTTGATTTGGGATAAAATTGATTTTAGGGTTTATGAGTTGTGTTGGGTGATTTTGATAGAGGCTAGAGGAATTAATTTAGGTTTTGTTGTTGTTGTTGGATTATTGTTAGTTGAAATTAGAAATGAAAATTAGAAGAAAGAAAACAGAAATTTTATTAAGTTTGTAAAGTAACTGTAAGTTGCAAATTTTCATAATTATGCAAGTTTCTTTTTTTTGTAAGTTAGAATTATGAAACAATTATGAAAACACTTGGAATTTTGAAAGTTTGCATTTGCATGAACATGTTCCGTGAGGGTTCCCTTTCATTTGGGACGTGCTTGTTATTTCAAGAGGAGGGAGATAACATTACTACTTTTCTGGTTTTTTTTTATGCTTCAGTAAGTTTCCACATGTTCTGGTTTTTTCATTATATATAGTTTCTGTTATATTTATTTTCTTAATTTAATATATTAAATTATTATATTAATTAAATATAAATATGACTTAAGTTATCCGATTTAATTTGGAACCCGATTATGTTTCGATTTCCCGATTTCGGAAATTTCGATGACGGAACAAGTTGCTCCGAATTTAACGAAAATTGACGTGCTAGATAATTTTGACGTGTAGAACATCGCGGTGAGGTTAGTTTTTCGAGATTTCAAGTTTTTACAAAGCGACCCGAAATAGGCCATTTTACGGTTAATTTGAAACGGGTTGCGTTTTAGTCGGTTTAAGTCGCGTATGGACAATCCGATTGCGACGTTGACAATTATAATAGATGCCGATTATTATGAATGACTTTCGCGATGATTATTGATGTTTGACTATTTTTCCGTGTTTTGGAATTTAGTGAATTATTTGATAATGATGTGGTGTGATTAAACATGATGTTTGCGACGGTTTATTTATAATGAATACTTGATGATATGCGATGTGATGATATGTTTATCTTGATATGGATAAATATGGAGATGTGGGCTTTATGCCAATTTTGATGTGCGGTGATGATGTTTTTGTTGTGTCGTGTTTGTGATGTCGTGTTGTCGTGTCACATACATTGCATTGGCGACGAGGGCTTTTATGCCAAGCGACGATGGCTTTTATGCCAAAGCGACGATGGGCTTTATGCCAAATGTCCCTAATTGTGGACAAAGCGACGGGTACCATATGCATAACATAGTCATGTCTCATGGAGTCGGTTATGTTTATTTTTGAGTCTTTTGGCGTTGAGTTTTATTTGATGGCTTATGATGAATTGCGATGGTATATGATACTTTGCTTTGTGATGACTTTTGTGTTGAATATAAAGTGAATATGATGTGATGATTTCATGAAAATTATGCGATGAATATAACATGACAGTAAAGCGACGATATGAGTTTATGGCGATGAAGTTTATGTTTGTTTTGATATGATGATTGATGATTACATGACGAAATTAAAGTGTTGATTTTATACACTAAATGATGAGTTTAAAGTATGTGAGATTTTGATATATGTTGACATACTCTTATTAATCCTATATCATTTATGATTCCAAAACTATATATATATATATATATATATATATATATATATATATATATATATATATATATATTATATATATATATATATATATATATATATATATATATATATATATATATATATATATATATATATATATATATATATATATATATATATATATATATATATATTATCATGCCTTAAATTATATGTTTTGGAGTATCTCACCCTTTACTTGTTTCGCCGTTGTCTTTATATTGGTAACGTGCAGGTGATCCGCGAGGATGACGAGGATTAGCTCGAGTCTCTTTATTTTGAGTCGCTCTGCTCTGATAGTAGTAACACTCGGGTTTTGAGCGACGTGATTATTTTGATAGGATAGTTTATGTATACTATCTTATGACTTTATGTATTGATGATAACATGATGATATGTACATTTTGTGAACACATCTGTTGTGCTGTGAATAGTCATATGTTTATATGATGATTTATGATATGAATCGGTATATCCGACTTTTGATTTTTGTGATGTGCATTCTAATGCAAAGTGATGGAAGCACGAATATGTGATACCTCAATTTATGTTTGGATGAAATTTTGAAACTCTGATTTTATTATTAATCACTGTCATCTTCTGTATGATCTTCTTGATGTTTTTGGTAGCCGCCTCTACAGCATCGTCCATCTTCGACTGGTAAGGGGAAGAATTATGATGCTGGATCTTGAATTGTTTACAGAGTTCGGTGATCATCGTATTGTTGATATTTGTACCATTAACTATGGTGATACTTTCTGGAACACCATACCAACAGATAAGGTTATGCTTGATAAACTGCACCACAACATTCTTAGTAACAGTAGCAAAAGAGGCAGCCTTAACCCACTTCGTAAAGTAATCAATGGCCACTAGGATGAAGTGATTCCCATTGGAAGCAGTAGGTATAATCTATCCGATCATGTCAATGCCCCATATTGCAAAGGGCCAGGGAGTCGTCAAGACATTCAACGGAACCGGAGGTACATGTATTTTATCAGCATAGATCTAGCATTTGGGACAAATCGGGAATGTTGATAACAGTCTGCTTCTATAGTGGATCAATAGTATCTTGCCTGTAGGATCTTTTTAGCCATGGTGTGTCGACTAGAGTGGGTGCCAAAGGTACCTTCGTGTAAATCTGCCATAATCCTCTCTGTAATGCCTCGATATTTAATTATTTATTTAATTAAATATTTTTAAATATTTTATATTAATTCGAATTTTTATCGACGAAGTCAAAATTATTTTATTAAGTTGGAATAATAATTAATCGCATTAATTTGGTGTAATTAAGTTGAAGTATTATTTTACTATTTAGCTTAAATTTGATATTGGGCTTTAATTGGTGGTATTGTGTAGTATTAGGGGGGGTATGTCACTTAGGCCTATTTGAATTTAATATGATTAAATAAAATAGTAGTATTATATAGAATAAATGAATTATAGGAGAAAGAGAGGGAATAGAGATATCAGGAAAGAAGAAAGAGGAACAAGGGTTTTGTGACGGGAGAAGAAGAACAAGGATACTACTTCTAGTGCCATATTCATCAAAAATTCGGTTGAAGTTTCTTAGTACTGCACTTAATCCAATGTAAAGGTGGGGTTCTGACTCTATACAAGGGTGTATGATTTTTAGTATGTAAATTTGGGTATAAAAATTATTATTTTTTAGATGTGTTTGAAATTGATATATTGTTGAAATTGAGAGATAAATTAAGAACCTATTTTAATATATATTGGTATTGTAACGGCCATGTTCTGCCATGATATCAAATTGATATCTATGTTGTTTAGTTACTGTAGGGTGATAACAGTGAGCTACCATTGAAACTATACGGCAGGTCACTTCTAGGATTATGCATATATTGTGTTACTATGTTTTAGAGAACCAAACTAATGTTAACAATGGATGGATATCACGTTTATGATACTATATATTACTTCAAAAATATAATATAATAATAATAATAATAATAATAATAATAATATAATAATAATAATAATAATAATAATAATAATAATAATAATAATAATAATAATAATAATAATAATAATAATAATAATAATAATAATAATAATAATAATAATAATAATAATAATAATAATAATAATAATAATAATAATAATAATAATAATAAATAATAATAATAATAATAATAATAATAATAATAATAATAATAATAATAATAATAATAATAATAATAATAATAATAATAATAATAATAATAATAATAATAATAATAATAATAATAATAATATAATAATAATAATAATAATAATAATAATAATAATAATAATAATAATAATAATAATAATAATAATAATAATAATAATAATAATAATAATAATAATAATAATAATAATAATAATAATAATAATAATAATAATAATAATAATAATAATAATAATAATAATAATAATAATAATAATATAATAATAATAATAATAATAATAATAATAATAATAATAATAATAATAATAATAATAATAAATAATAATAATAATAATAATAATAATAATAATATAATAATAATAATAATAATAATAATAATAATATTACAAATAATAATAATAATAATAATAATAATAATAATAATAATAATAATAATAATAATAATAATTAATAATAAAATAATATAAACATAAATAATATTAATAA